TGGTCAGTGACGACTGATCCACCAAATGAGGCGGAAGTCCGCAACTAACTCCAACTCTTGAAGCGCTACAGACCACCTGGGCCAGATGACATAACTCCAGCTCTTTTTAAAGATGGTGGTGACTTTCTGACAAAGGAATTGACAACGTTGTTTACAAAGGTCTGGGAGTTAGAGAGTGTACCAACGTCATGGAATGAGTCGATAGTTGTCCCTATCTTTAAAACCGGTTCACGTCGTTCCTGTAACAACTATCGGGAGATAAGTCCACTTCCGATTGCGTCCAAGCTGTTGGCTTGCATCATACTTCGTAGGTTGTTCAAAACCCGAGAAAGATTGACTTGCGAGGAGCAGGCTGAGTTTCGTTCTGGTCGAGGATGTATTGATCATATCTTCACCCTCCGTCGAATGTTAGAACACCGCCATATTTATCAAAGGCGAACAATCGTAGTGTTTCTTGACATCAGGGCTGCCTTCGATTCGTTGGATAGGACTGTTCTCTGGGATTGTCTATTGAAGAAGGGTGTGCCTGAGAAGTTTATTAACATCCTAAAAGCCCTATATACAAACACCTCAGGCAGAGTGAGGGCATACAACCACCTTTCTCCACTGTTCCACTCGAGCAGTGGGGTTAGGCACGGTTGCCCGATCTCACCATTCCTCTTCAACTTTACCATCGATGACATTCTGGGAACAACGCTGACGGATGTAAGTAATGGTGGTGTGGATCTGTTGTCTGGAGAAAGACTTCTCGACCTTGAGTATGCGGATGATATTGTCTTACTGTGCGATAATGCCTAAGGCATGCAGTCCACACTTAATCAGTTGGCAATCAGTGTCCGTAGGTATGGTATGTGGTTTGCACCTTCAAAGTGCAAAGTAATTCTACAAGGCTGGCAGGATCCTAAACCTATACTCACCCTGGATGGTGAGCAGATAGAAGTAGTCGAGAAGTTCGTGTATCTGGGTAGCTGCATAAGTGCTGGTGGTGGCGTGAGTGATGAGATCAATGCACGTATAGCGAAAGCCAGAGCGGCTTATGCCAATCTGGGCCATTTTTGGCGCCGTCGTGATGTCAGTCTGGCTGTAAAAGGTCGGATCTACAACGCGTCGGTGAGAGCAGTTCTGCTCGATTCTTGTGGAACCTGGCCTCTCCAAGTTGAGGATGTTAAACGGCTCTCTGTGTTCGATCATCGTTGTCTCCGAAGGATTGCTGACATCCAGTGACTGCTCCACTTTAGTAATGCAGAGGTTCGGCGTCGTGTGTTCGAGCACAGGGATGATAATGAGATCGATGTCACCATCTTGAAACACCGACTTCGGTGGCTTGGACATGTTTTCCGAGTGTCGTCCCAGAGAATTCCACGTCGTGCATTATTTGCTAACTCTGGGACTGGTTGGAAGAAGCGGAGAGGTGGTCAGTGCATGACATGGTGTCGGGGTATGAGAGAAAGCTGCAAAGGACTGGCTTCTGTCGGTCCATCACGACTCCCTGGTTGGGGTCTGAGAGATGGTGCTACACAGTGGCTAGAGACGTTATCATATATGGCTCAGAATAAAAGCCAGTGGCGATCCTGCTGTAACCTTCTTTTACTTTCTTCATAAAAAGTGGTTGTGTCTCCTTTACCTGAAAGATTTCTTCTGATTGTACCTTTCCGTTCCCTCATTTCTACCACACTAACTTACACCAATCTCTTCGTTATTATTCTTTTTTTGCGCTCCTTAGCTTTTTTTTTCTATTTCTCTTCGAATTCCCATTGTTTTGTGTGGCGCATATATATTGGAGCTCTCTTGTACCAATATTTATGTGTTTAAATAAATAAATATTTTATATTCCTAAAATAGATGTAGTGTACGCAACACTAGTCGCTTATTTTATAGGAAGCGAAATAAATTTATTAAGAGAGCAGATATGACAAGTCTATGAGTTAACTGAAATAAATTTCCCATTAAAATTTAGTGTTAATGGATATATGTATATGTAAATAGTAGTAGGATATTTCACTAACAAATGAACGTAACCGCTTAGTCTTTATCCATTAATTTCTGTGCGATCTAATCTCACATCTTTAGCTGATGTGCTTAACAGCTACAAATCGTAGCATTGTTTAGATTACAATTAATTTATAAATAATCTATATGAATATTCATAATCTTATTCAAGTTGTACAATTGCAAAATATCGTAATTTCAACTGCCTTGTATAAAGTAAACATTGTATTACAGATTACTATCCTCAACTCCTCGTTCTCTCACATAATGTTAATAACCTATTAGATCTTTAAAATACCTGTTGTACACATTTTACTTAGGAACTCATATCATTCTGGTTGATTGATCGTCACAATATTCAAGTGTGCACATTGATTTAGATCTAATATTATTTGCATAAAAATATGCGGAGTAACAGTGCCTTACAAACACGCAGATGATTACTACCTGCAAGTAATATTTGTACTGGTTTCAGTTAGCAGATTGTAGATTGGATTAAAGGACATTCCGCGCATCATTGTGTTGTGGAAGTCTGATTGGTCATTTCTAGCCCAATCAGCACTAGCAGATAATTAGAGAAGACTCAAAAATCTCGTGTAGAATCATAAATAACGTTTCTCTTGGTGTGAACACTACTTCCATCCATCCGTGTTTATTTTTGTGACTAGTCGAGTGAATACCAAGCAACAAGAGTAGCTGCGTTGTAAAAAGGAAGATGCTAACAGTCCCAATAAAGCTCATTCTCTGTAATGGACTTATTATTTTGCAGATTTGGTTTTAGACTTCCAAAACACTAAGTGGTGAGCCTTGGACTTCTTTAGCTTAGGTTGATACTATTTATATATTATATCGCAGATTCTGACCCCACTTTTACAAACAATACTGTGAACTTAGAAATAACCGTTCAGAAAGGTGCTCAAATTGAGGTGTCATATCTTTTCAAAATATAAATACAATGAACTCACTATCCTTAGTTTTTTCTAATCAAGTCGTATACTAATTATCATTGTAGTGTTTGAATAAGACACTTATATGAGAGGCTTATACATTAATTCTTAAATAGTTATGTACGGAATACCAGGTCAGCCAGTTGAAATTCACGTGTACATTCAGAAGTGAGATCATGTATGTAAATGTCGCTAAGCATAACTACTCAATCAACTAGATATTGTCATATGAGCACAACTACGCCACTTTTAGACCAACGAATACGTGTGAAATGATAGTAAGGTTAGGTGTTCTAGATTCTGGGAGTTTTTCATGAACTACACCGTCCTTAATGTTAATCGAAATATTTCCATCTTACATAAACTTGAGGAAGTCATAATACTAGATAAAGAAATAACGAGTTGTGTTCAGTGAATCTCATGGAGCAAGAATTCACCTTTTCATATAGAAAAGATGTGAATTCAAGAGTAAATACAGGATTTAGACGTTTTTAAAAACTTTTAAATATTTGTACGGAAATATGATACAATCAAAGAGAGCTTTAGATAGTTAAAAACCTAACATGTGAAATAGCAAGATTTGGCTAAAATCTAAAATTATAATCAAGTCATCAGAAACAGTAGTAAGGAATAAACATTACTGTCTAAATGACAAACGAACATTACTACTTACGACCACAAAGTATGATGTCTACAATGAATAGAGCCACCAGGAACAAAACCAATTCTGAACAATATCCTACAACCTCCAGTGTATGATCTAAAGGAACCCAAGCTCATGTGATTCTAGCTCACCAGCTTTCTCATCCAGTCACTTTACATACCTTATAAAGTCTCCGATTATGAAATAATCTGTAGAAGGAAATGCACTCGAAACTAAACCTCACTTGGATAGTTGTATATACCTGATAAATTTACGGGAACTGACAAGTAAACAAAAAGATGAACGGAAGGGTTACATCCTACACGAACAATCTACTAAAAGATCTTAGGGAAGAACACGCAACGAAAATAAGTAACTTAGCTTCACAAACATTCTTATCAGTCACAAATAAGTGTAAGAAATGCGACGAACCACCCAATAATAAAGGTATGGCAAGGCTGTTTATCCTTTACTTTAAGGCACCACAGACACCGAATTTTGGATTCCGTAATCTCTCACGAACAGGCATATCTTTGGTGAAACCTGTAGACCAAAAATAACTTGTATATTCGTATAATTTGTCTCATCAGCCACAAGCGAAACCAGTTTAAATCACATTCGAATATTCAAGTCACTGATGTTAACCTATTGTCAAATGGTCGACGTTCGATTGTCTTTGTCAGATAATAGAACATGGCTTTATTAGATCCATGCAGACCAATCCACCAAGTCAGCCTTGACGAAAACATTGTAGCATTTGTGCAACATTTGGATCCTAGGATACGTTCGGGGAATCAATCTAACAATACGCCAACATATAAAAAATAGAAGGGTTAGACAACTGCAGCATGTATTGCATTATTTCTTCACACCATAAATAACAATGCGCACACTGTCTAGAATAGCAATAAAAAGAAACTGGAAGGTTTTAAACCCGCCATTTACCCAACATGTATTCTGAGCCATAATATAAGCCGGAAAGTATGGGGAACGTACCCCACAAAACATGTCTAGGCAAGCCCAGACCATTCAAATCTCCTGAAAAATACAAACAAACTGAAGACTTGTGAGAAAATGAGCACGACCATTGTTTTGGGGTACGGAAGCATCATAAATGAGGTAGATATAAGTATCAACTCCGTTGGTTGAAAGCATCTCGCTGCACAAAATCTAAGTCCCCGCACGTTTTCACAAGTTGTATTTTCGGCAGTTTTTCTACATATTTGAACTACATTTAAAGGTATTTTGTTGTACATATGGACTAGTAAACCCATATAGCACTCAACAGTCACATGACACTACTTGTTCACGACAAACTTAACTAACTAATCTTCAAAAGAGCGTATTGTTGATCACTTTTACAACCTACACAAACGTACGACAATTAGAAGAAATACAGACCATTAACAGTTATATTTGATTTAAGCAATGAGTTCATACGGTAGCGGATGGACAGTGACAACTGGATTATTTTTGGTCTTTACGAAGTGAGCTATCCTTGGCTGGGCAGGCTAAGACAAATATGATAAACAAAAATGGGACAATTTACCTGTCGCTTCAACTGGACAAACACATTTCTTTCTTTTGCTTCCCGTCTTTTTACGTCATTCTCTTTCACACGACGGAGGAAATCTTCTCTGCACTTACTGGGCTTCACATGTTCAATCCTTACATTTATTCGTTTAGGAATTATACGATTACTGTAAATGAAATTTAGTAAGCCAAAACAATTTACCCGACACGTTTATTGACGATTATTCCAACAGCATGTGGAGTGACGTTATAGACGCGACCAGTTCGACCATGATATGACTTGTGGGGCATACCCTTCTGGACACCACCATCACCCTTTATATCAACGATATCACCACGTCGATACACTCGCATATGAACCGAAGATGGCAGAGGTCCATGATGCCTGAATTTTCGAGAGAATAAGTATCTTGTGCCTCGACGATAACCTTTGGTGTTTGTCATTATGTCACCTCGTGATCAGAAGTTCGCCAAACGCGGACCCGCTCCTTGAATGTAGAAGAACAAGACACAGTAATCAGTAGCATCCAATATTCAATAGACAGAATACGAATATTACGAGTTTGCAAATTATGGTTGATTCACATGAACTTCATTATTGCTACTTCTGTTCGGTTATACGTTTTTCCTAACCTCCGGTTATTGTTAACTTTGCTGTTGAGCTGCACTAATTCTGAACAGTTCGTTAAATGATGTGGGTTTGCATAACTTATCATCTGAATGAGTTCATTTCTCTTAAGGAATTAGGGTTTCTGACACCAACCGTCAACAAGTTACCATATAGGAGGTAGATTAGTTGAGACTTAGAAAATCAGAGGAAATTAAAATGCAGCAGAACTGAGAGCAGACAAACTTCTGAAGGAGTAATTAGATAAATAAATTTATCACTTAGCAATCTGACTGAAGAATGAGAATAAAATGGGAAGCGGAAATTATAATAAATGAACCAAGAATAGAGTAGCACATGTGGTGGTTACAGTGGTAGATGAGTTACGCGACATCAATTTGTTACAACTAGTTCAAAATGGAGATGATAATTCATTACGAAGTACGTAATTATCAGATACCCTCCTCAAGCTCTCTGCATTGAGGCCTGTGTCCGCTTCGACTACAGGAGAATTTCAAGTGGAGGTTATTCATTTGGGTATTCTCACCAGGATGTGTAATTTTTCGAAGGTCATCTCATGAAGCACTCTGGTGATTTCTGATGTGATGGTTGCATTGAGGTGACCTACATTAATTAGTATGTTGCGTGTCACTACCAGATCACCTCCTCTCGTAGTAGAGTGAAAATGATCGCAAGCCTTGGGATCTATCGTCGTACAGTCTGTTTCTCATTCTCGTCACCTACTTCTTTTCCCGCCCATATATTCGCACTGAGAGATTTACGCCTCCTTTGAGGTTAGATAGTGTGACAATGTTCTGGTCGTCCTGCTTAGACCGTGAGTACGTGTCGAAGCGTTTCAAAAAGAGTTCTCGAGAGATTACGCCGTTTTGTCATCTCATAAAGTGAATGGCTACATTTTCAGTTATAGCATCATCAATGTAGTTTTAGCTTGTGTTCAAGCTCTCTATGGTTGATAGTCATCATGAGGCAAAACGTCCAGGATATGACATTTTATAAGGTTGAATTGTAACCGAATGTTCATCCCGATTCCCGGTTGTTGTCAAGTAATCCGGAGGTTCGCATGAATTCTTATCGCTTCTTATGGACCTCCATATTCCAACGTCATGGGAATCAACGAGATTTACGTTAAGGCACATAAAGCACATTATTTTTATTCATGTATTCCCTCATTCGGTCACTGACAAGTACTTCCATTCACTTCGGCACCACTGGGAGTGATGCAACAGGTCTGTGTCAGGTTAGATCCTTTTTTTCTTATTCTGAGGCCTGCAGGGGGCGTATCCTGTTCTCATTCAGCGCTATTTCCAAGTTTAATTCTCGATGTGGTTGTGTAAACTTGAAAAAAATCTTCATCCAACTCATAAACCGTTGTTCCTGACACTCACTATGTTCCAATCTCTATGTCGACACTGCATCGTGGTTAAACGTCGTCAATAGACCCTGATTTACCAATACTCTCAGTTTATTGTGAGCCAGAAAGAAATGCATAGGTGCTTCGTCGATAATGTCATCTAAATTTGCTGTTTCTCTGTCCATGTCGATAAACTCTTACGTCTTATTAGACTACGTAACCAAAAATTCCACATCGGCTTGAAATGAACATCCATCGGCATCCTTCGTCACGTCATCCTGGAGCAGCTTCAGGTACTAAACAATGTATGGAAGTACGTTTACATGGCTGATTGTCCTGATCCTCCACTACCACTTAAGACTAACTTTCATAATTAAATTGACAACATATGTGTGCATTCTTCTTCTATGGTGGACCTTTGCAAACAGTCGCCTTGACTGCTTCATTACGGTTTGTGCCAATTAGTTTTCAATTTCCATAAAGTGCACTGATTGTTTTGATACATGTATTATTGATTGACACGCAACATTCCGCCACATCTGCAGATTTAAGGCTGGTGGCGATGTTCCAGTGTTAACCTTTTTGTCCTAGTAAAATTCGGATCCGATTTATCCGTGTGTGAGACTATATTTTCGTCTTTGGAAGTGTATAGGGAGTGAACAGTCAAGTTCCCTTGTCGTATAACTGAAGATTGTGGGTCCCTGATTCTTCCATTTATTCGTAACAATCGATTTCCTAGTTGAAGTTCCAGAACAGACCTCCATGATTTCTGCCGTCCATATGTTAGGATGGGTAGAGCCATCTTATTGTTACGCCAATGCAGAGATGAACTAGGGTGTGGCGACTCCTCTTCACTGCAGGGAGTCAACTTTTTCACTAACATCACCCTGGCGAAAGAAGCCTAATCCCGGAACACAGGAAGAATGCTGTGCGTCATATGTGGTGTGGTCCCTAATGCGACGGCCAAAGTAATGTGCATATATCCCATTCAACTTACAAAATGGTTTCATCATACTCTTCCTAACTACCACTCTTGTTTATTCGCCTATGTAGGATACACTTTTTATTTACTTAGCCTATCTTTCTAACATTTATGAAATAATGGTCCATGTAATGCATTGTGCTTAAACAATTTTTCAAATGAGAGTATGAACCAGCATTGTAAGATGTGATTCGTAGCATTATGTTTATATGCTTGCGGGTTTGATTCTATACGTTAAGAGGAAATGTGTATTCTTACAAGCAGAGGGATTTAAATACACCAATAACATATCTAGTAGCTCGTATGTGTTTGTTTGTCTAACAATTTGAACTGCTCATAACGAATTTTTTTCAGGATTTCAGCTGGTAGGCTAATTGAAATGACGGGAAACGTATGTATGTAAGATGTTTCAAAATATCTTAAATCTAAAATGTTGTAGTTCAACTAAATTTGTGTGACTTATTTTATAATAGGGCAGTTCAGTAGGATTCAGAGAATATGGGAACTGGTATACAAACGTGAAGCAATATGTAAGGTTGAATCTAGCTCATATTCTTCAAAGAGGTTACAGTCCTAGTGTGTCAAATCATATAAATCAACTCTTAACACAATCCATTCTCGAAGACTTCTTTGTAATTTGCTGCTGTGTTCCTTCGACACTCAACCTGCAGCGTATACTGGGGTTGCTGGGGTTAAGTGAATAATGTTGGAGCACCGAATGGACGCAGACTTAGCGTAGGACTAGCTCAGGCTCATACTTGTTGAAGTAATAAATTACACAACCCATAAGTTTGAATTCTTTCGCACTAATCGAGGCTATTGCTTGGAAAGTGATAGATCATTCGGGCATTTTTAGCAATGGCCTCCGTATCACGTACATGTATTGTCCTTCCGCACAATTCAAAGTCTGTCCCATGTCGCTGCTTTTGATACCAACACAGCTACTTTTGTTATATCCAAACTGGAGTTAATAATTTGTAAACCATACTTTTATCCTGTTTGATTCCTGTAAAATAAGCTTGATTGTTTCATTTATTCTGTTTTCGTGGCATGTGTAGAATACTTGCAGTTCGCCAGTGTATAGTAAATTTTTTTCTTAGTTAAGGCAATTACGAGTGCTAAAAATGTTCATTACGAACAAAAGAGTCCATAGTATACTTCCTTCCACAACTTAACTACTTACACACGTGCTGATGTTCATATTTAACTTCGGTAATTTGGTACCGGCCATTTAGTTTAGTGATCGTAGAGCTCGAAGCCACATCATACGCGACCTCAGTTATGTGAACTCATGAAGCGATTTAGAAGTAAGTATGGACTTAGCAAGTAGTCAAGGGTAATTCTTCACAGTCTTCGGCTTGTTTTGTCAAATAACAAGAGTGGCGTTTTTGAATATTAGTCTTTAACTTTCCCCATGTATTTCTTACATATGTGTCTTCTGCGAAACCGTTTTTAGCTACTTGTTTTAGTGCTACATTTATTTGCCTTAAACTCTTCTTTACTTTCGTTTCGAGTACCTAGTTGCCAAGCAGATTCATAAGCAACTAACTTTGTATGCAAGAACTAGATATCATTAGGAATATAGTATTTAGAAAAAATTATACAGGAGGGCTTAAGGCATTTCGCCGATTGAAAACCTTCAACCCGAATACTAATAATTTCACTGTTTTTGGATGTATTTGTTCTACTCAACCTCTTTGTCTTCGAGAATTTTGTTTTCTATTTGTCTTTGGTTTGGTATTTGAAAGATTTTGAAGGTTTGTCTTGTAATTGTTATAATTATTATTAGAATGATATTTGGGTTGGCAATTTGTAATTTGAGAATAAACTTTGGTACTTACATTAGATTTTGGTTCTGTTGCTGATCGGGATTCGTTAGTCACAACTAGATCGACATACCGTGCTTCAATAACGGAATAGAGCAAAAATTTGAACGTAACAAATAGCCTTCTTATTTTTGCATGGTATTACGTTAGAAGAATCACTTATTGTGATGAGTCTAAAGAATGTTACAGGAGCTAACGTATTCAAATACGACAACATAGACCTATAGTTTACCATATCTTCTGATATTGGCTGTAAAAATCATAATAATTGAGTGGATGATGTTGACGGTAATCTATCAGGCAACGTCAAATGAAGTGTAAACATTCATATTATTACACCACAGGGTCACCACTGTTGCAAGTTGATAATAAGCATGTTCAAATGATTACATAAGCAATGGTCGCTCAAGATCTAAATCTATGGTGAATGATAATAATTGTAAATCAACAAGTTTAAGACGTTCCAACCCTACAAAAATTCGAAAAAGAACACTGATTAGCAAGTGATACATAGAAATGCAACCAAGGTATATCTATAAAAATGTTTTCAGAGAGATGTCTGACAAAACTCTCTGATTCAGATCTGGGTGGAATCAATCAGAAATAAATATGGGTCGTAGTCAATGTAAGCAGATTTAAGTCTCCATTTTAAACGTT